TATTTTGGACACTATTGATGCTAGAGACCTCAAATTTGGTATATATACTCGGGCTCAACTCCCAAGACCAAAAAGCTTTGGTGGATATATATCCGCCCATACGGGGCGTGGCAAACCGCAAAAGTTGATATCTCTTAAAGTATAAGAGCTAGAAGCTTTAACTTTGGATAGTTACGTTACAAGTAACCTCCTCTGATACCCCAAATAATATTGTTAGGGGCGTGGCATATAAAAAAAACCCTGTAATTTTGGCCTTACACCCACAGCGCCCTTCCTTATCGATCTGAATATGAAATAGTTGTAATATAATGGAAGCATGACTAGTTTGAAGGTGTTACCATACCATTTTATACCCACTTTCAATGGGTTTTACCACTAACCAGAGAACTCATAGACCGTACACGTAGTCAAAAAAGCTTGCGGCTCTCTGGCTAGTGGTTCAATCGAGGTATAAGGGTACACTTGTCATCAAAGTTACGAGCTAAGTCGATCTGGCTCTTTATGTATGTATGTAGATCCATCCGTGTGTTCGTCCGTATATCGTAAAGATAACTGTCGATAACAGTTTCAAGAGTAGATCCCCAAATTTTGCCTTCATGTGAATTTTATTCAATTTTTATCTTTGTTATATTTTGGATACCGCCCGGAAATCCACCCATTTCCCAGCAAATTGGAATAATGAATTTAGTACACTAGAGTCTGGTGTTTTGGGTAGAAAAGTAGTACAAGTAGAGCTATCAACAATTAAGTACCCATAGTAAAGCCCATATTTGAGTTTGCAGTAAGGAAATATTATTTCCTTGTACATTCAGCGAATCTGGTAGCCGAGCAGACTCGACCAGAACATTGCTCATCAATGTTTCACTTGAGAAATATCCACTTTGTTCGTAAACGCTTCAATACTCTAAGTTCGCTTTGGATTTGCTGTCATCTATTTGAGTCAATGAGGGGGGGGTCTAGCAGTGCCTAGTAAAATATTATTCAGTTGGTTTTTTAGTTTTGTACGCAGTTGATCGAATAAATTCATAATAAAGAATAAATTCTCCAGCAAGATGAAGAACTTCCGACAGATAATACAGCAGCAAAATAGTATCTGCTCGTGTTTTTTAACTAGGAATCGACTGCAGATGCCAAAGGCTATGCCCACCATTCCCGAAGAGGACGAAGAAGAGGCTGTCATCTATGAGATTGTCTACGGAAAGTCTCCGGACAAAATGAAATCTGACGACGATAAACTGAACATGGCCCTACAGGGGATAGATAACGGAGATGACTGCAGCACTTGCTCGAGTTCAGACTTCGTCCTCTCCACGTCGACAAGCGGCGAGGACTCGCAACTTGAATGGGACGACTAACGATGTCTTTTCCATCAATAAACGACGAATCCTCGTTGATGAAAAATTCCAAAAAAATAAGAAAACAAGAAAACATTCGCTAAAAAAAAAAAAATCTAGCGTTCCCGTGTTTCTAAATCGTTGTGCAACCTTTCGGTATTCCTCGTTTCGTTTCATCGCATTTTCCAATATATATTGTTGAAGTTATCCAAGAAATAAGATTCCATTATCCATTCCACACCACGAAAATAGCAAGAACCAAACAATAAAAAAAATTGTAAGTCTTGAAAATGAGTTTCTTTTGTGTTTTCATCCTTGAAGATTGGTTCGTCTGAAAAGATATTTAGTTCAAATTCCGCAATCCTATTAGGAATATAATATTTGTGAATATTTGACAGCAAGTTGCAAATTTCCAGATCATTTATTCTCTTGTTTCCATCTTTAATACTGACTCTAGCGCATTCAAAGATCGAAGATATCGTTCAATCTCTCTAGAACTATTCGCAGTTAACCAAGATTGATGACTTCGAGCTCACTTTAATCAAATTTCAATCGACATTTACTCTTATTTTTTGTCTACATTCGCTTTTATTTAATTCAATTTATTTCCTTTTTGTTTTCAGCCTTCACAGATCTAGTCCATAAATCTTCTTTTAGTCAGCTCGCAACAAAGGGCTTGTAAATGTTTAATTTATCGGCATTGTATAGCCATTTATCGGCTCTTCTTTATTGCTGTGCTTTTCTGTTGTGCTGTCTTCACTTTCGGTCAGGTAGTTAAAAGCGCCCATCTTTAATTGTCTTTCATTTGGCCCACTGTCACTTTTCTTTGGACGTTGGCAGCGACGCGACGCAGCCGTCGACAAGCGACATTGTTCAAGTGGACTTCAAGTGAAATTATGGACGATAAAGCAGTGCGCGCATGTTGTTGCCGGCGTCGCGACTCGCCGCTTGCGGCGCTGTCGGCTGCAGCTAGCCGATCACTAGCTTTCGGCTTCGGCTTGCGCTGCACCCACACGAGCACGCACACGCGCACGCAAACGCACTCGCACTCGCATACAAATGCAGAGCTGTCAAAAAAGTAGTTAAAAAAACAAAAACAAAACGTGCAGCACTTGCTTCTGCTGTTGCTGCGTTGACAGCGGCGACGGCGACGTCGACGGCGACGGTGACCATTGAAGCGTAGCTTTTGCTTTTGACACATTTCTGATGCCGCACAGTGTCACGTGGTCTATTTGTGCGCAGCGAAAGTATACAATTTATGTATTTCACATATCATTTTGTATATTTATATTTAATTTCAGCTGATATATGTATATATATAAATATATGTATATATCTAAACCATAGATAAACACTTTTGTTTCACATTTTGCAATCTTGTGTGAAGAGATTTATCTTTATTTTTTCGCACAGTTGGCTGCGCTGCAGTGCACCACTGTGCCGCTTTGTTGGCGGCTGCTTGAGCATCGGCTTAAACAACTTCGGCTGCAGCCTAACCATCATCGGATCGGTTCGGATCGAATCAGTTGCTGTCTTTGCGCGACGGCGTCCGGTTCGCATAATTTTCGTTGTGCGCATGCGATTTGAAGTTCGCGTTCTTTCGTTCCGTTTTCGTTTTGTTTCGCGTTTCGGACTTTTGAATTTTTTTCGGCGCTCGTTGTTCATTTTTTTTGTTTTTTTGGTTTTTGTTGTGATTTTTAAAAGTGAAACTGACCGACTAAGAGAAAAACCGCTTGGCAAACGTAATGGCAAATAATTAATTCAAATTGCAACAAGTTCTTGAGTGATTTATTAACGTTGCTACCCTTCCCTTCCCCACTGGTTTGTTAGAGCTTAGCTTGGCTTGACTTGGCCTGGCCAAAAGCCAAGATACAGATGTAGATTCAAGATAAATTGATGGTGGCTTAAATGCTGCCAAAGCTCTTATGGTCCTACACATGGCCTGTACTGTGGCCGAGTTTCACCTAAACTGAAACTGGCACAAACACACACACACACACACACACACACACACACACATGCACACTTGTCAGCGGCGCATTAAAAGGAGAGACAATTGTCTGGGAATGGTTAGGGGAATGCCACAAAGCTGCATTCGTCAACCACATCGCATGTGGCAGTTGCAACAACAACAACAACAACAACAACAACTGTAATAATATAGTGACAACAATATTAAGCCCATCATTATGTTTCATCACAGTTTATCACGAGCCATGGCCGTAACCAGTTATCATCATTCAGCATTCGGCCAGTGCAGCATCACTATCATCAACACGATGATGATCATTCCCAATTTCCCAAT